TAACTCTCAAACAAAGCAATTCTCACGTTTATGTAGATGAGAAATTCGGCCAAGACAACCTTGTAGGAGAGGTTGGGACATGGTGTATTTATAGGCTCCATTAGGGACCTTAAGGAGGTGCTAAATATGGGCTTATTCCATTAGGCCTAGGACTCCTAATTCTAATTCAATACTAACTCAATCTAGGAAGGAGATCTCCTACTAATCCATCTCTTCTAGAAGACTCCTAAGTCTCCTAACACTAGAGAAGATCCTTGTAGGACTTCCCGTTCCTAATTAGTAATCATGGAATAGAATTAAATCCTAATTTAGGAAACCTGAGTGGCGCGACACGACGAGAGCGAGTGGTCATATCACAATGTCATGCATATTTTCACATAATCAAATTTTCATAACTTAGACCAGTCTACAGAAACGCAAGCTGGCTCTGATACTATACTGTAACGCCTCACTTTTATTGCCAAATTTCAAGATAAATTTTTCGAAGTTTATTTTCAAAACATTTGAGGCGCTACTCATTATCAAAACAATATCAGATTCAACCAATCATCAATACTCAATTCTCTTTATTTATTTATCAATAATAAATAATCAAAAACTTAGTTCAATAATCAATACTCATAAAATCCCAGGGAAAACATTCTCTAACAAGAACCCTGAAATCGATCAAAGAATAATAACAATATTTCAGTTTCAAGTGGAAGCAGTAACAATTTATTATGACCACACTCGCATCCCTCGACCGTGCTGCAACACTAATCTGCATCAATGAAGAGCAGATGGGGATGAGCACAAGAGGAAACAGTAGTTCTCACCACTATGCCGTAAACGTTAATCTCAATAGTAAACAGTAATCCATAATTAAAAGGTATGGTCTCAGCATGTATACGAAACAATTATTTATCCCAATCCCTATCAATAATATCAATAATCAACACTCATGTGTACACACTTATCATTAGCTACAGCTAGTATCTTCGAAGGCATCACCGTGTGTCTTACATCGTCAACTAGCTCGTAGGAGTACATGTCGAAGGCATTGCCATGTGTCTTACATCGACATTCATTTCGAAAGCATCGTCATGTGACTTACATCGAACAAACATATCGAAGGCATCGCCATGTGACTTATATCGATATGGCCCACCTTGGGTCTTAGGAGAAATCTTAACAAGGGGATAATCGTTCGGTGGCTGGTACAGCTCACACTGAATGCTACATGATTCACATGCATACCTTGATCATACCACAATTTAAACAATAATAACATTTAAGGCATAACAAATTTTTAAAATAAAACCCACCTGGTAAATCGGTAGAAAGGCACACAAAATCTAGTACGTAGGATGAGGCTCGACTCCTCAAATCATTTATCAATGAACCATCTCACTATTCTAATTTATCATAAAACCCATACTTAATAAAAATTAAGACTTAAGGGTTATAATCAGATTTTTCGTGGACTTGGAACTCTCTCATTTTAGAAAAATAGGACTTAGAGAACTTAATTGGAGTCTCGGGACTTAAAATAATTTTTTCCAAATTTGTCTCATTTGAAAATATTTCTAAAATTGAAATCGGTATTAAAAAGGGTCTCCGGAACACAAAATTTGGGCTAAAAAGCTAACTGGGTCGCGCTGGCCATTTCCTCGAACTCTTGGCCGCGTGTACGAGCAAAATGGGTTGCTGGTGTGTTGGTTTTGTTGGGTTCGATATACCGTACGGAACAGAGTTTACAGCGGAATTTAAAATTTT